GGGGGTCATAGTAGATTCTCCAGAAAAGAGGGGTAATAGTTTCACCTTGATCAATACCATTTTTAACTGAGTAAAAAATATTATCAATATTATTTAATTAATTAATTAATTAATTTATATATTAATTAGACTTTTAAATTTTGTGATATAAATGATTAGGTAATATTTAATAACATTTATTTTTTTTTTTTATTTTTTTTTATTCTTATTTTTTCTAAACCTTTTAAAATTTACTCAAAATGGACAACAATAACACTGCTTTATTGCTCCAATTGTTAACAAATCCAAGTGCTTTACAACAAACACTTGCAACTATTGCACAAAGCCAGCAACAAAGTTTGTCTATGTCTGAAACTATTTTGCTAGTACCATTTAATGCTAATATTAGAATTGTCAATACAGCAGCAAGTATTTATTATTATATTATTAAATAATAATTTATAATAATACTGATTTTAAATAATTTAGTTCCCATGTAGGTTTGCTTAAAACCTAATTACCAAAAAGGAATGGAGATGATGTAAAAAAATAAAGACAAAGACTAGAAAGATTTTCTTAACTTGTTATATGATATATATTGGTCCTATTGAGTAAGTATTTAATTAATTCATAGTTTTATATTTACATATTTATTTATTTTTATAAACATTAAAAACATTAATAAATTTGCAGAGAAATCTTTATGATCAGTTAAATGCATGCTATTAAAAAGAAAAATACATATTCGAACTAAGAACAAGAAATTGTTCAAAAAGTTATAGAGAAAATAATAATATTATATATTTATTTATTTTATTTTTTATTATTATTTAGTTTAAAACAGACTTTCTGACCTTTCTTGCTTCTGTGGGTGATTTTGTTTTGCAAAAGCTCTTAGAGGATATTTTAAAAAACTAAGTAAAAATATTTATTTTTTATTTAACTTTTTTAATAGGTAATATTATATTATTACTAAATATTTTATAGTAAAAACTATTTATAAGGCTAAAATAAAGGAAGCAAGTAAAAAGGGCATCTCTGCTCCTCCAAATGCAAAAACATAATATCTCCAAAAAATAAAAAATATTATTTTAGCAAGAAGTTCTTGAATAGTATTTTCTTCTAATAATACAACTAATAATAATAACCTTTAACAATTTTTATCAGATGAAAATTAATTTTCTACTAAATCATCTAACGAAAGTAGTTCACTATTAATCAATAAGCCAAATAGAGAATTTTGGTCTGCACTATCTATTAATAAAATTATAGATGATGATGATAATAATACTCAACAATATTTTAATATAATCAATACTCCATCTTTTAATACAATTAAAGATAATAATACTCAACAATATTCTGGTGAAAATATAATCGAAGTTGATGATAATAATAATACTCAACAATCTTCTGGTGAGACTATAATTGAAGATAATAATGATACTTAACAATTTTTGGATCAGACTATAATTGAAGATAATAATGATATTCATCAATATTTGGGTAAAAATTATTTAATTTATTTATTAATTTTTAAAAATATATATATAAAATTTTAAAATATAATTTTTTTTTAATAAAGGTTCTCAAACAGTATCTGAAATTGTATTTAATAATTTTATTCAAAATCTAAAAAAATAATCAGTATATATTTATTTAAATAGATATAATTTATAATAATTATATAATATTATATACATGTATAATAAATTTAATTTTTGTATAGAAAAAAAAAGAAAAAAAAGTCCAACTCAATTAATTCATTCAACTCATTCAATGACAAAAAAAGATTCAACTAAAGAAGCTGCAGTGGTATCTAAAAAACAAACAATAAATCAAAAAAAAACAAAAAATTAAATATGTAAATATATAATATTTTTTTTTTGGTTTTGTTTTTTTTAAACTTTGACGTATCTTGCCAGGTATTTATTTTAGTAATTAGTTTTACATATACAAAGATGTGAATTAACACATAGATAGTAAGTGATAAACTCTAAGCCTGTTGGCAAATAGCGTATGAGAACTATTTCTAAATGACAGGTGCCGTACCACAGAACTAACGGTTACTGAAACACCTAACCCTACCCGGTTGCTTTACTAAGCCCTAGATGGGATAGCTGCACCACTTAGTCGTGAAAACTGCACTGAATCTCAACATTGAAGTCGGTGACTAACTTTTTGCTAGGGTACATGTCCCACCCATGTATTCACCCAGACTTTGGTAACCTACCGCCACAGCTTGACCTATGCATTCGGGGTCAGGGCTAACCATTAAACCCCTTATCTAACTAGTACCAATTATGCCACCAAACCAAGTTTGTATCTCAAGCCACCCCTAAGGGTGCTGCTGCTACCCAATCTGACAAGCTACAACCTTTCTAATTAGACCATTACTTACTTCTGCCCTTGTATAGGTTCACAACAACCCTGGTACCCGCAATTAAACCGTCTTCTTACCCAGATTCTTTATCGGTCTCTCCCTTACTTCCAGTTGGCAACTTAGAAAGGTCGGTCTGCCCAGGCTTTAGGTGCCTGAAGAATGCCCTCTCCTTGGTACATATTTTTGGAGTGTATGTCCTTTTCTTCCAGTGTAGCAACCCAGCAGTTCAGCTGGTTTGTCCTCCGCCATTAGGACCTGGTCGCTTGGTTCTTCGATCTCAGGCCCTAGTTCGAATTCAGCCCTCTTGTGATACCATTGTAGATTACTGCTACTCCTAACTCAGGACTTCCCAATTGGTTTTTAGTTATGCCGGTTCCTCAGATTTATTGTGCTATTGCTCCCATTACTAGATGGTGTGACCGAAGTTACAGATTAGATCCAACCGATAAGCATAGCCGTTAACTGAACACAAGCCTAATTTTCAAAAATCGTCATCTGTGGGATTCGAACTTTAGACCTGCCACTTGGAGAGGGTGACAACTAGACCACTACACCAAGTCGCCACACCTCATAATATTTTTTAATTATTAAATTAATTATTATTATATACTAATTTTATAATTAAAAACAGGATACATATAATTATATATGTATTATATACATATATAGTATACTTGGCATAATTAGTATATATATTTCAATTTATTTATTTATAAATGGTTTGGTTGCTAATGACATAATCATAGTTTATTTAGAAAATAATCATGTATAATTATGAAGTAATCTAATTATATTCATGTTTTATTCAAAAAATAATCATGATACAATTTAATTATCAAAATTCTTCCAGTTTATTTGTAAATATAATCATAAAGTAATTCGATTACTAATAAATATATTCATATTTTATTTAGAAAATAATCATGATACAATTTAATTATTATTAAAATATATTCTGGTTTATTTATAAATATAATCATGAAGTAATTCAATTATTAATAAATATATTCATGTTTTATTTAGAAAATAATCATAATACAATTTAATTATTATCAAAATATATTACAGTTTATTTATAAATATAATCATGAAGTAATCTGATTATTAATAAATATATTCATAATTTATTTAGAAAATAATCATGATACAATTTAATTATTATCAAGATATATCCCAGTTTATTTATAAATATAATCATGAAGTAATCTGATTATTAGTAATTTATTTTCCTAAACTAATCATGAATAATCGGAATAGTCTTGGAGTATAAAATACATATAACACTCCGGAAAAGGCTCATATATTAGGAGTAAAATATGATTAGTATCTGATTATTTTCGGAATATTTTCGAAAAACAGGAATGTTTCTGGAGTATAATTTAGTTAATAAACTGAAATATTTTCTGAATATTTTTCGAATATTTCTAGTATAATAATTTGGAATATTTTTGGAATATTTTTGGAATATAATTATATGTTTTTTTTATAGTGAAAGGCTCTTTGTAGAAACTCTGCCATTGCCTCTTTAAATATTTATGATAATAAAATTGGTCCAGAAGGATGAAAAGCATTTGAAGAAGTTCTATATAAGAACTCTTTTCTAACTTCTCTAAATCTTTCTGAAAATCAACTTGTTTCGAAGGTGTAAAAGCACTAGCAGAGGCACTCTGCAAAAATAAGGGTCTTTGCCTTGAAAATGACCTTATGATACATGATACCGTAAGGTCATTTTCAAGCAAATGTTACATTGACCTCACTGAATCTTTATAATAATAGAATTACTTATGAAAACAAATGTTTATTGAAACAAATGTTTCATATAAATACCACACTAAAATATTTGAATTATTAAAAATAGATAAATTTGTTTGTGATAGGAAAAAAATTAAAAATTTGATGTAACTTGAAAAAAGTATTGAATTTTTCTTTTTTTATGTAAAGTAACAATAAACTGATAATTTAAATAATATATCGGTATGTAAAATCGGATTCGTTTTATTTTACTAATTCACTTAGCATTAAAACTAGGAAAACAGGTGCTAAGTCCAATTATTTGGCTCATTACCAATGTCATTGGATAATTTGTGACTCGGGATTTCATGATGCTGTGGATCAGTTACATAAGTGGCATGATTTGGATTTGCATGATACATAAAATTAGTAGATAGTCTAACGCTAATACTTGTGGCCCGGATAATAATATATTTGGTGATAATATTTAAGCAAAACGAATAGCCAGGCGAGTCGATATTAATTAGAAAAGCCATAAAGTCCCGAACACTGTATCTCACCACGACACCAACATACAGTAATAATATTTTACAAAAGCTGCGCAACGCAGGTGCATGAAAACAGGAATAGTGTATGAGATTTAAATGTTGATCTCGTTGCATCAAACCTATAAGTGCAGATATAATGGCATAATTATTTTAATTGTAATGAGTTATAGCATTTTTTTGCCGTACCATTTATAATTAAGACAATTTATGGAATTATATCCGCATCTTTAATAAGACAAATTTTTTTTACTATGATATGTATTAAATTAATATGTTATACATTAAATTAAAACTGATAATTGTAAAATTTATTGACATATTGTCATTATCGTAATAAATTCTTGAAAATTTAAACTACCAGATTATTTTGATCATAAAAAAATTGGATTTATTCAATAGATGAAATTTTTAATAGATCAGCACCAATCAAATAATAGGTTTATAACCCATTATAACAAAATACTTCATATCTGCGCAAATTCTAATTCATGTACAGTAAAAACGAAATTAAATAGCTTATCAAGAAAAATTAGCGCTAGTATAAAACACAAATTGGAAATGCTGTTAGAATCTTGAATAAAACAAGCAACAATGAGTTATAACTTGAAACGCACAATAAATCTAAAAGCCACGACAACAAACGGCAAGATCATGTATTTAAATCAATGACTTGACAAAATGATTTAATCACATTATTATATATAGATAATATGATATTTTAGTTTCTTTTAATAGTAAGTGTAGGTCGTATAATGTATATTTATTTAATGCTGCACATTCAATAATTAGAATGGTTCATGGTATAGATGCCTGACGAAACCATAAGTTTCGCTATGGTTTCGTGAGGTCGTCAGGCATCATTAGCCATGGCATACACATGAAGTCATGAGAAATGATTATCCAATCAGACGCTCAGTATCCAAGACTCCACTTAATTCGCTAAAGCAATTATTTATATCTGAGACAGCTCTTGGATTAGGAATGTTAACGATCGGTAGCGGCCGATCACAATCGGTCATTTACCTGTGACCTACAGGAGCGACCGTCGATGTTACACGACTGACTTTTCACCCGGTGTGCAACATATAAAAAAACTATTTTACAA